GCTCCCGGAACAGAACAGCATAGACTGCATGGCTTACATGACAGACATTATTTTCTCACAGTTCTGGAGGCTGGAGGTTCCAGATCAGGGTACTAGCATGGTGGGGTCCTGGTGAGGGCTCTCTTTCTGGCTTACAGACAGCTGTCTTCTTGCTTATCCTCAAGTGGTGAAGTGGGGAAATGGGGTAAAAGGGAGGGGATAGTGAAAGAGAGAGGGAGAGAAAGTTCTCAGATGTCTTATAAGGACACTAACCCCATGACAATGATCCATTCTTACAACCTCATTTAGCCTTAATTACCTCCTAAAACCCTGTCTAGATACAGCCACATTGGGAGTGACACAATTCAGCGCATAGTGGAAGTCTTAAGACGTCTGCTCCATTTGACACTAAAAACTGCACATCCTTTCCCTCCTCACCCCCCAACCTGGGCTTCTCAGACAGCACTCCCTGGGTCTCCTTCATGCCTTTCCAGCCCCTCCTCCATTTCCATCCTGGCCACTGCCACCCTCCCACCTGGCCTCCCAGCTACTTTCTCTCCTCCTGCTGCCCTCCACCCCAGGCAAGCTCATTCTAACGCATGGTTGTCTTGATTGCTGCTTCTGGCATCAAGGAACAACATGACGAGCTGTAGAGTCACACAACCTAAGCATGAATCCCAGCTCTGCCACTTTCTAACTATGTGATCTCAGCCACATTGGCATCCCCACCTCCCAGTTTCTGTGTCAGAACCGTGAGTAGAGTTCACTCCCCATCCACCCAATCCGGCCTTCAGCCCCTGCTGTCCAGCCAGACTCCACCTTGCCACATTCCTTGGCCTCTTCTCTCTTTCTGTTTTATCTTTCAAATGTTTACTTTGTTATCACTTCCTTGCTTTTCTAATTTTTATTTTTTATTTTTTTGTTAATGAATGAGAGCTTCTCATGTTGCTCAGGTTGGCCTTGAACTCATAGCCTCGCCTCCTCAAGTGCCAGGACAACTGGCCGGAGCCACTGCGGCTCCCTGCTTTTCTAATTTTTATTACTTGCATATATATCCCTCAAAATAGATACTGTTTAGTTTTGCAGGTTTTGAACTTGAAAAAAGAACCAAGTTGCAAAGCACACATTGTTCCATGATGCTGTGATTGGCCCGTTTGTGTGTGTTTCTGAACCTTATTCCCATGTATAAATATGTTGATCTCACTGTTTATAGGTATAACAAGGCTTTTAACACAAAGCGGAAGTCAGTTTTGCAAAAATCTTAGTGCTTTTTCTCTACATGCCCCTGGTAAGTCTTGCTGCCTAGGGTAACCGTGGCTGTGCTAGAGACAACGCCTTCCTTGATAACGAGCCATGGCCTTTCCTTCAGCATTGACTGGGGAATGCAGTACTGGGGGCTTGTTACCATCCTCACCCAGCAGCAGGCCATGCAGTAGGAGGAACCAAAATGTGGTGGTTATGGTCAGGGCCATGGGAGGCTAGGGTAAGGGGCCTGGAGAGGCCAATGTAAGGACATCTCAGCTCTGTCTCTACAGGGCTGGAGTGGAGGGACAGGGTGCCCAAGCAGAAACAGGAATAGAGGAGGGGATGTGAAGTAGGGAGAGGACTGCACAGGTGAGACAGAGTGCATCAGAGCCTGCGACCTGTGAGCCGAGGGCACCAACCCAGCTGTCTGGATTTGAGAATAATTCATTGAGGAGGCAGCACCTAGGAGAAGCACCGTGCCAACCTACGGGTGGTTTAGGAACATCCTCTGCATTCCAACTAGGCTGGGCAGGAGGCTGGGGTGAAAGAAGGGAAGCCATCCCGGGCATGAGGAAGTGCTCCTGCTGTGGGCAGATACCTGCTGCTCACTATGGAGTTCTCCCATGTCCCAGCCACATGTTTACACCCACATCTTTTCTATTCCTCTCAGAAAGCCTCTGCATTAAGTACAGATTGACTCCTTTCCCCACGGTAAGGAGGAAGAAACTGAGGCTGACAGTTGTTCCATCTGTTACTCACCACCCGGTAACTGGGAATGGGCAGAGCTAGGAACTGATCTGTAGCTTGGGTTCCACACCTGTCATGAAGATGCCCTGCTGTTATGGAAAGAGGGATTGATGTGTGAGATGTCAGAGGGTGACACAGACTGGGCTTGGCGACCGATGGAAAAGAATGACGGGGGAGGTGGGGCTGACCCGCATGCCTGGGTGGACCATGGCATTATTTCTCAGGAGAGGAAAAAGGCAGTAAAAAAGGAAGATGGGGCATTTGAGGGACTGAAAAATTGCTGTGTTAAAATATCTTTAAAGGAACACAAAAGCGATTCTGGAGTTCTAGGGAGAGTCGGAGGTGAGCTATGAATGACCTTGACAACTCCTCCCCCACCACTCATGTGGTATTCACTGATGCCAGGGAGGGCATTGGATGCCCAGATGTGACCTAGCTGGACCCCACACCCCTATAAAATAGGCTCTGTCCCCCATTCATTCCTTCCACAGTGTGTGCAGGCCACCACCCTGGCCAGGTGCTGCTCTGGGATAGGACCATGGCAGCCGGTGAGGCAGGCGCAGAGAGCAGAGACACTTCCTGTAGAATCATCAGGAAGGGCCCCTCTGAAGCAGTGACTGAGTGAAGGGAAGAAGCAAGCCATGGAGAACCTGTGGTGAGGGCAACGTCCCTGAGGGAGGCGCCATCTTGCAGAGCCCAGTAACTGAAGGAAGCCTGTGAACGTGGCGGGAGCAGACAAACCCTGCTAGGAGATATGATGTGTGGAGAGGAAACTGGGCTGGCTGGTGGGGTCTTTGTAGTTTGATTTTATTCCAGTGTGTTGGAAAGCCATTGGAAAGTTTATGCAACAGAGGCATCTCTTACTGTAAAGATGTAGTAAGAGACCAGTTTGTTAGAAGACCAGTGGGTAGTCCAGGTGAAAAATAATAATTGCTGAAACTAGAATGGCGGCATAGAAAATGGGAAATGTGGACCGATTTGGGAGATATTTCAGAACTGGTTCAGGATGGGAGTGTGATGTTATAGTATCAGGATGGAAGAGCCCAGAGGAGCTTCCTTGGCTTGGATTATGGCATATTTATGGTATTAGTCTTATATTATACCTCAGCAGTGTTATTTCTGTAAGATATTAACCAGAACATAGCTACATTTGCATGTTATATTTACACATTCATTATTTGTTCCTTTCATCCTTAAATTTCTTAAAAATGCAATTATAAAATATATGCAATTTTAATATTGGGGCAAAAATAGAGTGAATAAAGAAAAAAAGACATAATGAATGCTAAGTTCAATAAATCATGGCTGGTGTCAACAGTCCTGCTGAAGTTGATTGACAGCATGCTCTCTGAGAGCCTGTAAGTCCACAGCCAGAATGGAGTTGTGCTCTGCTCTGACCAAGCCAATCCGCTACCTGCTCATTGTAGAATTTCTTTTTTTATTTATTTTTATTTTTTTATTGATTTTTAGGTTTTGGGGTACATGTGAAAAACATGCAAGATTGTTGCACAGGTACACACATGGCAGTGTGATTTGCTGCCTTCCTCCCCTTCATCTATATCTGGCATTTCTCCCCATGCTATTTCTGCCTAACTCTCCACCCCCCGCTGTCCCTCCCCTCTTTCCCCCCAACAGACCCCAGTGTGTGATGCTCCCCTCCCTGTGTCCATGTGTTCTCATTGTTCAACACCCGCCTATGAGTGAGAACATGCAGTGTTTGATTTTCTGTTCTTGTGTCAGTTTGCTGAGAATGATGGTTTCCAGGTTCATCCATGTCCCTACAAAGGACACGAACTCATTGTTTTTGATGGCTGCATAATATTCCATGGTGTATATGTGCCACATTTTCCCGGTCCAGTCTATCATTGATGGGCATTTGGTTCCAGGTCTTTGCTATTGTAAACTGTGCTGCAATGAACATTCGTGTGCACGTGTCCTTATAGTAGAACAATTTATAATCCTTTGGATATATACCCAGTAATGGGATTGCTGGGTCAAATGGAATTTCTATTTCTAGGTCCTTGAGGAATCGCCACACTGTCTTCCACAATGGTTGAAGTAATTTACACTCCCACCAGCAGTGTAACAGTGTTCCTGCTTCACCACATCCTCTCCAGCATCTGTTTTCTCCAGATTTTTTAATGATTGTCATTCTAACTGGCATGAGATGGTATCTCAATGTAGCTTTGAATTGCATCTCTCTAATGACCAGTGATGATGAGCATTTTTTCATATGTTTGTTCGCCTCATGTATGTCTTCTTTCGTAAAGTGTCTGTTCATATCCTTTGCCCATTTTTGAATGGACTCGTTTGTTTTTTTCTTGTAAATCTGTTTGAGTTCTTTGTAAATTCTGGATATCAGCCCTTTGTCAGATGGGTAAACTACAAAAATTTTTTCCCATTCTGTTGGTTGCCAGTTCACTCTAATGACTGTTTCTTTTGCCGTGCAGAAGCTGTGGAGTTTGATTAGGTCCCATTTGTCTATTTTGGCTTTTGTTGCCAATGCTTTTGGTGAATTGGTCATGAAGTCCTTGCCTACTCCTATGTCCTGAATGGTTTTGCCTAGATTTTCTTCTAGGGTTTTTATGGTGTTAGGTCTTATGTTTAAGTCCTTAATCCATCTGGAGTTAATTTTAGTGTAAGGTGTCAGGAAGGGGTCCAGTTTCTGCTTTCTGCACATGGCTAGCAAAGGGCAGTGTGTTACTGTAGATCATATTACAGCAGGTTAATGGGGTATTTTAATTTTAAAAATCTGAACTATTGATAAAGTTTTTCCAACCCCAAATGGTGGGGAATACTGAAGGTTTTCTACAGCTGTGCATGTTATCTTACAAGAAAAATGCTTATAAACACCTGCCCTTCCTGACAAATCCCCTTTGCATTTAGGATCAGGGCCAGGAGTGAAGGGATTGTGCAGTGGTGGATAATTCTGGCATGATGGGAGAGCTGATGTGAAAGGAACCTCGAGTCACCCAATCCAATTCTGTCATTTTACGTGGAATGAAAAGGAGCTCTGACTCCATCATAACCTTTTATTTAGGAGAGAATATTTGTGGCCGAATGCAAGAGGAATCCAGACTTGAATTCATGTTATCAACAAGTCCACATTACTACCAAATAAAAGAGAAATGGGAAAGAGTTCATTCACAGATTATGTGAGACTTCACCTGGATTAATCATTCTGGTATTTTCTTCTTATTTAGAAAAAAGCCAGAATGTTTTTCTAAAATAGTCCATAAATTTTCCAAGCAGTCTTAGTACAGGAACTCGCTCCATGAATTTTTGTAGTTATGCAAAGCCTAGAAGAATTCAACAGTGGAAGAGCAGCCACATCCAGGAACTTGGTCCTGTGGAAAGAAAATTCAAAAGAAATGAGGTCACTCCTGATTGAGGGAAAGATGGCTACAGTGAGAACAATCACCCAGGGCCCTGCCCTTGGGAGCCCGGCTGTCCCTGTGCAGCTAGCTGCACATAGACATCACCGACGCAGGGGAGCTAGGAGTGACAATCCACATTTTTTAAAATACACGGTAGCGGGTGTGCGATATTGTGATCTATATGGGAAATATATATTTGGTCTCTGCCCTGGTTTCTGGCACACAGCTCCTAAAATCTTTGGAATCTCCAGAGTGATAAGAATGTCTTTGGTGTGTTAATGAGAGCACTGGTGGCTGGGGACCCCTAGATAGCTTCAGAATGAGGCTGGTCATGAGAAAGGAGAAAGACCAAGCCATCATTAGAGAACTGGTACCTTCAGACCCACCCAACCTCTGAGAGAAGGTTGAGTTTATCACCCATGACCCGTGGTTTAATTCAATCTTGTTTACCCAAAGTGACGCACGTGGCCCAGGATGGCTTTGAATGCAGCCCAGCACAAATTTGTAAACTTTCTTAAAACACTATGAGATTTTTTTTACTTTTTTTTTTTTTTTTTAGCTCATCAGCTATTATTAATGTTAGTGTATTTTATGTGTGGCCTAAGACAATTCCTCTTCCAATGTGGCCCAGGGAAACCAAAAGATTTAACACCCTTAAGGAATGATGTCCATGTAATGGAGCCTCCATAAAAATCCCAAAGGACAGAGTTCAGAGAGCTTGTGGTTAACAGAACACACAGAGATTCCTGGGGGTGGCACCTGGAGAGAGCACGGAAGCTCCACACCCTCCTCCATGCCTTGCCCATGCATCTCTTCATCTGTATCCTTTTTAATATCCTCTGCAATAAATGGGTAAATGTAGGTAAAGTGTTTCCCTGAGTTCTGTGAGCTGCTCTAGCAAATCAACGGAACCCAAGGAGGGGGTGATTGTGGGAACCCCGATTTATAGCCAGTCATTAGGTATAGGCTGGGATCTGAAGCGGGAGGAGTCTTGTAGGACTGAGACATCATTATCTCCAGGCAGGTCATGTAGAACTGAATTATGGAACACCTAGCTGGTGCCCGCTAGAAAATTGGTTGGTGTTTGGGAAACCCGCCCACCCCATAGCTGAGGTCAGAAGTGAGTGCTGAGTGGTGTGTGACAGCAGAGAGAAAAACAGTTTGTTTTTTCCTTCAGAGGGGGCCTTCCTAAACATGATTGGAAACCCGTAAACCACGTAGGAAATAATTGACAATCTTTGGCATTTAAAATTTTAATATTTTAAGTAATTTTAAATACATTGAAAATGTTTCCAACTTAATAATTATGTACATCAAAACATAATGAAATTTATATTCAAAGGCTAGACTGAAAAACATTCTTGCACGTTTAGTGGAAAAAGTTGGTGGGCTTAATACTTACACTCCTGTAAATGAATAAGGAAAGGCAGCCAGAGGAGCGTGACAGGCAAATTCACAGATAATAGACAGGCTGATGACCAATTAAGCTGTGCAAGGAAATTCAAAATAAAATAACAACCACACGTCATTTTTGTTAATCCGTGCAGAAAAAATGTTCGACATTGTAACAACCTATGGTTGGTGGGAGTGTGGGAAAACAGGTCTCACACTGTTATGGGAGAGTCAATTATTATAACTTTTCAGGAATTAGACAGAATTTAATAGAAGACCTAGCAGTTGTACCTCTAGAAAGTTCTGCTACAGAAATACAAGTGGCTATTCAGAATAAATAAATAAGAATGACCATTGCATTAAGGCTCTTGATAGCAAGACCCTGGCAGCAACTAAGCATCCCCCCACCGGAAGACAGCTGAGTGAATTTGACATGCCCAATCTATGTCATGCATAAAATAAAACATTGCATAATTAGTTTTTTTTTTTTAAAGTAAAGAAGGCTTATATAGATTGAATTAGAAATATTTCCCCAGGCCAGGCACGGTGGCTCACGCCTATAATCCCAGCACTTTGGGAGGCCGAGGTGGGTGGATCACGAGGTCAAGAGTTCGAGACCAGCCTGTCCAACATGGTGAAACCCTGTCTTTACTAAAAATACAAATATTAGCTGGGCATGGTGGCGGATGTCTGTAATCCCACCTACTTGGGGGTCTGAGGCAGGAGAACTGCTTGAACCTGGGAGACAGAGGTTGCAGTGAGCTGACACCATTGCGCTCCAGCCTGGGCAACAAGGGCAAACCTCTGCCTCAAAAAGAAAGAAAGAAAACAGAAAAAAAAAATAAATATTTCATGCCCAGCTAATTTTTTTTGTATTTTTAGTAGAGACGGGGTTTCACCATGTTGACCAGGATGGTCTCAATCTCTTGACCTCGTGATCTACCTGCCTCGGCCTCCCAAAGTGCTGGGATTACAGGTGTGAGCCACTTCGCCTGGCTAGCAATATTTTTTTAATGGGAAAAAAATTGTAGAACAATGTCTATCAAAAGGCTTTATTCTGTGAAAAAATAAAAAGCAGGCATCTCTAATCTCTCTGTGTGAATCTACATGCGACACATACCTTTCTTTGGGATAAGAAGAGGAGATCTGTGGAAAATTCACACCAACCTGTTGACTTTGGTACCCTTAGCAAGTTTGAAATAGAGTGTATTTATATTCATTAATGCTTCCTTATATTCCTGTGTCATTTACACTATTTCCACAGCCATATGTTAGCTTTGTATTTCAAAATATAAAAGAAAATCTATCCTGGCCAAAAGCAATCACTGATATATATGCATAGAAAAACTAGGAGGGTTGGATTATATTGTTATTTTCTCTTTCTTTCCTGTATGTATTTATTAAAACATAGCTGCAATAAAAATATATTACTTTTAGAAAAAGAAAGCAATTAGTGTAAATGTATACCACCCACAACAAAGGACTCATTTCTACACTGGAAAGTGCCTGCTACTTTTGGTGCTGGTGAACGGAGGACATTACTCTCCCATGACTAGATATGAACTGCAAACGCTTCCCAATTTTTAATGGGATGAGAGTAGTGAAAGGGCAGGTGTCCTTATTTATGTCATTCACTTTTTCTGTGCAAAAATTCTTCAGACACCATGCTGGTCACCTTGAGGCTGTGGAGTGGCAAGTGCATCCTCAGGGTGCTGTGCAGCTAGCTGGGCAGCTGACCGAACACAGCCCTTTCCAGACGCTTCTGAGTTTTTTTATTCTTTTGTTTTTGTTTATTGTTGAGACGGAGTCTTGCTCTGTCACCCAGGCTGGAGTTCAGTAGCAGGATCTCAGTTTACTGCAAACTCCACCTCGTGGGTTCAAGCTGTTCTTGTGTTTCACCCTCCTGAATAGCTGGGATTACAGACCCCCACCACCATGCCTAGCTAATTTTTGTATTTTTGGTAGAGACCAGGTTGGCCAGGCTGGTCTCGAGCTCCTGACCTCAAGTGATCCACCCTCCTCAGCCTCCCAAAGTGCTGGGATTACAGGTGTGAGCCACCGCACCCAGCCCTGACTTTCTTTACTATCAGGGACAGGTAGCTGTGCTTCTTTCAGATGCTCCTTGCCTATGGCAGCATGTTCAGACTGCTGTGATTCTGAGGCTGTGCTGGATTAGGGAACCTGGTCTGTGACTTTTGAAGAGCAACTCTGCCACGCAGGAATGAGCACCTACAGACAGAGGAATCAGGAAGGATCCTCCAGTCCGCTTTTGGAAGCCCAGGAAATAAGGCCTGGCGAGGTGACACAGCCCAAATACAGGGACTGAACCAGAATTAACGTACATCTTCTGAATCTACATAGGACAAGGCACTATTCATCAGATCAATTCTCCTGGACGCATCAGATCAATTTGTGTCCCTTCTCCTAGACGCAAAGCTGGGGCCACCCTCCCTGCTTCTTCTTCAGGCTAGTATATGCATGATTGCAATGCTGGCCACCTGGAGGACCATTCCATCCAGAGCCTCCACACAGAGCCTCCTGCCTTTTGCTCCTCACATGTCCTCAGATTGCAGGTGTGAAAGATGGTGGGCCAGAGTTTCAGGGGAGGGAGCAATCACCACTGGACCTCGGGAGTCCTTCAGCAGTTAGTGCTCTTGACTAATAGCAAATGCCTCTGCATTTCCCCAGACCACACAATCGCCCTCCTAGTACTGCATGAGAGTGTGGTCAGAATTCACTTGCTTTACTCCAATACATTCTTTCCACATGACCCATTTTGGCCACACAATATGGGAGGACAGAAGTCTTGGTGTGTTTGCAGAAAAGATTCTGACTGGAGTGTTTCTCAATGTTTTGTTAGAACCAAAAAAGGCTAACTCAGCCAACACAGGATGAACAGTGGTATCAGACCCAGGACAGCCATGCAGCCACCAGCCTAGGGGGCCACCATCCACAGAATGAAGGGGTGTGGGGTGGGATTGGCCAGACTGAGACCATGCAGGTATAATGATAAGGAAGGAATGTGCTGGGGGAATAGGAAACAGAGCAAGAAAAATCATCACCCAGCAATGATGAATATGAGAATAAATACCTTAGCACACAAGATTACAAAACAAACAAGCAGCAGAGTCCTGTAATCTTGGAGTCACCTACAGGACGTGGTTACAAGCCCTTGCAGGAGGTGGAAAGAGGGAAGAGGAATGAAGTGGGCCCACCACCCCAGCAGTCAGGAGGGCAGGCTCACAGCAGGCTGGAGCCCCAGAAGGCAGCTCACCTCCTCCCCTTTCCATGGATAGCCCCGGGAGAGGGAATTTAGCCCTTCTGTTCTCCACGGCGCCCTCAGCTCCCCCGCTATAGGACCCTTCTGACTCCCAGCCACGACTGTCTGACTCTCTTCCTTCCCAACAGAACGTAAACTGAGAGCTGATTAGCTGAGAAAAAAATTATGCTTAGAGCTGATAAGGCAAAGATAAAGGAAAACTGGATATCTGTATGCAGAAGAATATGCAGATAGACCCCTATCTCTTACTGTATTCAAAAATCAAATCAAAATGGATTCAAGACTTACATCTAAGACCTGAAACTATGAAGCTACTAGAACAAAACATTGAGGAAACACTCCAGAACATTGGTCTGGGCAAAGATTTCTTGAGTAAGACCTCAAAAGCACAGGCAACCAAATTAAAAATGGACAAATGGGATCACGTCAAGTTAAAATGCTTTTGCACAGAAAAGGACACAATCAACAGAGTGAAGAGACAATGCACAGCGTGAAAGAAAATGTCTGCAAACTACCCCTCTGACAAGGGATTAATACCCAGTGTATATAAGGAGCTTAAAGAGCTCATAGGAAAAAAACAAGTAACCCAACTTAAAGATGGATGAAAGATCTGAACAGACATACAACTGGTCAATAGATACAAGAAAAAATATTCAACATCACTAATTCTCAGAGAAATGCAAATCAAAACTACAATGAGATATCGTCTCACCCCAGAAAAATGGCTTTTAAATAAGTACATGCTCATATATAATCCACACTATCCAGCTTTCTAATTTAATTGATAATATATCTTAAGTATTTTCCAAATGAGTACATATAGATCTATACCTTTTTTTAAAATGTGGCTTAATATTTTATTTTTATGGATATAAAAATATATTTATCAGCCTCTTAAGAGATGAACATTTATATTGTTTCTCTAATTGTAATTTTCAAACGATGATGCAAAGTATATCCTCACACTTAAATATATGATTTTAGGGGTAGAGGGATTTGCCCAAGTCAAATACATTTCAAATATATCTTATATCATCAAATCTACAGAATTAAAGCTGTATGCATTCTTAACTCTGACAGCTATTGAAGAATGCTTTTCCAAAAATGTTCCGAATTATATCCCACCCACGCTATATTATGTTTCCTTAATTTCCAGTTGTTGAAATTTAAAAATGGATCCTCATCTTTTTAGGCATTCAATGACTATGTGCATTTTTCTATAAACAATATTTTGGCAACCCAGAAAAGGAAATCTGGGTGGGATGTAATTCAGCATACTACATGTGGGTGTGTCTGGGTGTTTTCTCAAGTTTTCTTTTTCTTAGTCACTTTTATAAATAATCTACTGTAAACTATTTCTGTTTACTAAAATTTATACAATCTCTATCATCTTTTTTTAGTCAAATGTGAGTCCATCAGATCATTTCTGAGCCTATCTCATCCTCCCCATCCCTAATATCTAAACTTGGGTGACTTGCATTAGACCCTTTTATACTGTCTGCCTGCATGACACTGACATTTTTTGGGGGCAGGAAAATGACCTCCAGTGGCTGTGTCTGCATCATCCTCACTAAGGACTAATGTGGGACCTTGTCAAGTTGCTTCGCCACTCTATGCTTCAGTTTCCCCTGACCTGTGAAATGAGGATAAACCAACTGCACAGGTTTATTGCAAAACTGAATTTGTGGACTGCCTGGTAAATCTTCAAACAGAATCTTAGTATCTATGATTTGGATTTAGTTCTCTCTATGTGAAATAAATCACCACCAGTCCACACCTACCCCAACCCTTCATACGAACTCTCTACCATTGCCGAGTTTGTTATTTTCATTAAGCTCTTGACTCCATTTTTCATTCCAGTAGTATTTTCAAAAAGATTCATTCACGTGACTTGCGTATTAGAAAATGTCAAAGGACATCATATGCCTGCTGACAAATCATAGAATCCCTAATTCCATTTCTAACACCCTTTTAAATAAAGAGACATTTTCTTAAGAAACCTGAAATTAGACTTACTTTTCCAACTCTTGCTGACTTCGGTTGTTGGTCTGGATGCCAAGCCATTCCTTCTCATCCTCGACATTGACCAACCTCACGGGAAGGTCTGAGAGTTGACTGTTTTGTAGTTTTCATTTGTAGCACATGGCCATCCTTTCAACCTGTGATCTATTTCTTCTTGATTTCAAGAATATTAAACAAATTATACAGCAAATATTAATGAATTCTATGTAATGAAGCAAAATCACTATAAACAGCCATAATCTCAGCTTCTCTTTTCTCATGAACACTCAACACTCCCCATTGCCCCAAATTAAATAACTGTAAGTAACACATATTTATTAAGCATTATCTACTTTCCAGGCATCACAAAGTTGTAAGCACTTATTTTATTCAAGCTCCCAACAGCCCTGTGAGACATGTCTTACTAATTAAGGAACAGAGGCCACCGCCCTGTGCTTCTGAAGGCTGGTTGCTGGTCCAGTAGCTCATCTCATGGTGCAGGGCAGCAACTGTGTAGGCTCTAGGCTCCTCCAGTACCTGCCTGACTCCCTGAGTTTCTCTGGGTCCTGGGCCAAGTTAGTAGACTAGCCCTTGGCCAAACACTCCAGTTTCTTCTGCAGGTCTGTGGGTCAGATGCAGTAAGAGAGAAGTGTGGGTGTCCACTTTGCCCTTGTGGGTCCCAGTTTGTTCTTAGGAGCCCCCGAGTTTCTCCCTCTCTAGGGCTTCTTGCTCTCCATTTTGCAAATGGTGCGACAGTGACGTCAGTTTGAACTCCAGCACCAGAGCAACTCTTCCCCACGACTCTGCTGTGCTCTTATTGTCTGAGAACAATTATCTGCTGTGTCTGAGCCTTCAACCAGACCCTCTCAGACCATTGTTCCCCTAGCTTCTCCTACAATTGTTCAAGGTCCAATTCTCAACAAAGAACAAAAAAGGAAAGAAAAGAAGAAACCAAACTCTAATTCCATAGGACTCCAAGCAGTTCTGTTTTCCTGATCAAATCTATTAACAACAAATATAGTGTATTATTAATCACAAAAATTCATCATATTAAATTACAAAACTTTACCCATCTTCCTTACCGTGCCTTTTTTCTTATGTTGTGTAAAGCAAAGGATATATTTACAGCAGCAGCAAAATGCCAATTTCCCTTCCTTCTGTGCAGGAAAGATGGATGACTTCCCACAGCAGAGAGCCCACTGGCACATCTCCCAGAGCGAAGGGACCAGGTAGTGTGTGGAATGTGTTGGAGGATGAGTCACTTCTGTGCTCTCCATCTTCTCCTTCCGCTGTTCTCTCAAGGGAAGCTTCCCTTTTCCTCCTTGCATGCTTATCTACATCACCTAGAACTCAAGGAGAGCTCTCCATCCACAGGTAGGTAGGAAGAATGTGAAAAATCAACTCTGCTATATAATGAGGAATGATTGGACTACAGTGCTGAGAAAACAGGCTCTTTCTGGGCAACGCCAATTTCTACTCTCTTTTTTTTTTCATTCATTTTTAAGGCTGCAAATGTTTATTGAGGAAATACAAGTGAAGCAGGAAGGATGAGCAGAGAGAGAAAGCTACATCAGAGTGGAGTCATGGATGGGCGATGATCGTCACCCACTCTCCTACAGGCCTTAGGTTACTCCCAAGAATATGTTTCAGGCTGTCGGTTTCCTCGAATTGTAACTTTGGTCATGGACCTTCTTCCCAAGCAGGAAATGTCACCACATCTCTTAAAACGTGCATGGGATCAGGCAAAGCCTGGAGGAGCTCTGGAAGGAGGTAATCAACTCTGCTTTTCTGCTTCCTAAGCATTAAGGATGATGGTAACCCCATTAAACAACCACTTCTGGGGGAATGTTTAATGATGCTGGAAAGTAGACACCAAATATTAAGTTCTAAAAACAAGATGTAAGTGTTATAAAAATTAAAAATAATGAGCACTAGGGTTTGTAAGACATCAAATATTACTGTTCATTATTTTTGAGTAGTCAGATTTTTAGGTTTTTTTGTATTTTTAAAATGTTTTACAATAAATATGTATTACTTCTATAATTAGAAAAAGTACTAAATGCTATTGTGTAAAAAAGAAAGAGAAATTTTTAACTTTGCAGAAATAAGACTTTACCCGTAAGTTGGGACTTAGTACCATGGTAATGTATAATTCACAAAAGATCCAGAGGATATTTACTTTTAATTCAACTTGTCTAAAGTTAAACTTAGTATAGTTTTTCCCAAACTTGGTCCTCTTCCAGTTTTTCTGTCTCAGTGATTACCCTTCCACTTGTTGAGTTTCACAAGCCAAAATACTCCCCTCTCCCTACATCCCCTTAACCAATACAACATTATCCTGAAAGTTGACATCTTAAAGTATCTTTGAACTCCATCGTTTTCTCTTTTTACTTCCAGCCACCATTCCCACCCACCCACGCCCGACATTCACCCTCACATCATTTCTATTGCAAGAGCTCAAGATCCACTTTCTCCACTTTCCTCTGGTCAATTTCATCCCAGAGCCATTCCACATCCCATATTGCTGCTGGTACTGATGGCAGTTCTCTACTAAACATCCAGTTTCAGTCAAGTTTCAAACCTGTTCCTTCCCTGCCTGGCCTTTACTATCTCAAAAAATTGTAACATCATTCAATTAACTCATCCCCAAACCCTGGAGACACCCAGTTCATAGTCTATGGAAAGGCTTGTCAACCATAACTCCAAAATATATCCTAACTCTATTTTGTTCCATCTCCATTGTCACCACCAGAATCCCAACCAACATCATCTCTTGTCTACCACACAGCAGTAACCTCCTAACTGGTCACCTGTCTTTCATTCTTTACCCTACAATCTGTGTATGACCCAGGGATATATTAAAAGCAAATCAGAGCAAAAACATGGTTAAATCTCTCCAGTGAATGTTTATTGCACTTAGGAAAAAAGAATGGACTTCTTTTCTTGCACAATTTGTAGCTGCTCACTTCATGGATATCACCTCTTACCCCTTTGCTCACCTGGTTCCAAACACACTGATCCCTTTCTGTTGGTCAAACAGACTGACACTGATCACAACTCGGGAATTTCGTGCTCACTGTTTCCTCTGCCAGGAAGGTTTCCCTCCAGCTTTTTTTGTGATCTGTCCTTCTTTATCTTACAAAGGTCAGAGAATATATAACTTCCTAAAAGAGGCTCTCCTGTCCTGCCTTCTTGTAGACAGGACCAACCCCTAGCCCTGCATCTCCCTCAATCACATGATCTACTTTTATTTTCTCCTTTGCATTTATCACTATTTAAACTAGTCATCTTAATCAAGGGTCTGTGATGTTGCTATCAGTCTCCTCCTACTAGAAAGTAAACCTGATTTTCTTTAGTTCACTACTGTTTCCCAGGGTCAAACAAAGTGCCCGTGCTTATCAAATTTTTGTTGAATGAATAAATGAATGTACACATTTCCCTGTTATAGATTTCATAGTTCAAATTTGGATTAATATGGATGAGCTGAATACCTTACCACATTTTCCAAAGATCAAACTGCCTCCTGGCAGTGAGAGCTGGTGAAGACATTGGCCCCATTCACAAAAGCATGCTCAGGCTCTCTGTATTAGTTCATTTTCATGCAGCTGATAAAGACATATCCGAGATTGGGAAGAGAAAGAGGTTTAATTGGACTTGCAGTTCCATATGGCTGGAATCATGGCAGGAGGTGAAAGGCACTTCTTACATGGCAGTGGCAAAAGAAAATGAGGAAGGAGCAAAAGTGGAAACCCCTGATAAACCCATCAGATCTCTTGAGACTTAGTCACTGTTTCAAGAATAACATGGGAAAGACCGGCCCCCATGATTCAATTACCTCCCCTGAGTCCCTCCCACAACACGTGGGAATTCTGGAAGATACAATTCAAGTTGAGATTTGAGGGGGGACACAGCCAAACTATATCATTCCCTGAGCATGGCTTTGAGTGGCCTGAAGATGCCATCTGCTGCTTTCTGGCATCTGTGGCATGAGCTGGAGGAAGCAAGCAGCTGCCACATGATAAAGCAAAGCAAGCAGGAAAGGCTTCACTTGTCGCCAGTGTGCTTCTGCCCTGATCTGAGAGAGATTCTTTGTCCTTCAGAGACGAAAAAATCAAAAGCATTCCAGAAGATGAGGGAAAGTGTTGGTATACAGGAGTGGTGATAGAACAATGCTGCTTCTTTCCTATGTGTCGTCCTCACATGCCAATCCTTACAGTGTTATTACCAGAGCTAGCATAGCATTGTGCCTGGTGGGACAACTCTGGGTTGACTGGATAAGAGGTTCATAACCAGGACTCAGGAACACTGGCTTCCCTTGTCCTGTCTGTTTTCAGAGAGCGGCCCTTAGGGAGGTATTTTTGAGAGCAATGACCATTGTCAAACTATAGCAGAGTTCATCAGTGTGGCCAGTCATGAGTCACACAGTCCAGATCAACAAAGCCTATTATGTCATCATTTTTGCTTCAATTTCTTAAAGTGTATTTTGGACACACAGGCGTTCAGGGCATGGTGTATGAGGACAGAACATCCATGGCAGGGAACCAGACCCTAGGGTCAGAGGATAATCTGGGCCTCATTGTCCAGAATGAATCAAATCTTGGCTTGTTCATGCCGTGAATCATAAAACAATAGCTCCAGGTGCACACTCCTGGAGAGGAGAAGGTATCACTAAAGCAGGAGCAGAGTTCTATGCGTGACCTCCCCATTTCACCTGGTATATTCCAAGAGTTATAAGGTCACAATCAAAATAGAAGCAAAACCACCTGATGAAGCAGATCCAAGGGCAGGAGTAGAAGCAGGTTTTCTAGATGGGTGGGGTTACATAAAACTTAAGTCCAGACCTGAACACCAGGGCCTTTCCACTTTCCACCCAGGAGCATATCAGTCCCTTTCTAAAATCACCAGAATGGGCAACAGCCAGACCCCAGGCTCCAGCCCATTCAGGTCATTCTTCTAGACAAATATTATTTGTCAGGGTAGTTGGCTTGTTAAAGTTTGAGCTCACAAGGTAAGGGAGGTGAGACAACTGAGGAGAATAACCAATATTACAAAAGATAATACATACCAGAAGTGATGGCTCACACCTGTAATCCCAGCACCCCGGGAGACTGAGATGAGAGGACCACTAGCAGTCAGGAGTTTGAGGCCAATCTGGGCAACAAAGTGAGACCAGTGTCTACAAAAAAAGTATAAAAATTAGCTGGGTATTGTGGTGCATGCCTGTGGTGACAACATGGGAGGCTGGGGCAGAAGAATTGCTTGAGCCATGGGATTTGGGACTGCAGTGAGCTGTGATTGCAGCACTGCGTGCCAGCCTGGGCAACAGAGTGAGACCCTGCCTCTTAAAAAATAAATAAGTAAATACAATTTTTAAAAAGATAATACGTTGGATAATTTGCATTATGTGAAGAGGAACTAATGGACTAAGATAGAGAACTTAAATATAACAAATATTCTTGAAGAGGGAAGAGAGGATATTGATGACATGACAAAGGGGCAGAAGTATTTCTAAAGAAGAACCAGGTGAAAATGCCAGGCTTGAAAAGTATGAGTACAAAATGTCCATGTATAAAATTAATTGTTGAATAAATGTAGCTAGAGAAGGATGTATAAGTCGAAACATTAGGTGAAGAACTCCTTTTAAAAGGCATCATGAAATAACAAAAATACAGGAAATGTAAATGGAAAGTAACACGTGATAGATTCCAGTGTTCATATTCTTTTCATACACTATACAATATTTATGTAATATTAAATTTAGTATGTAAATTATACATGCTACTATGCACATTAGAGAGGAATAATTATTTAAAGAAAAAAAGAATGAAATTTCACTGACTTAAAGAAAAAGGAAAGCTCTCAAGTTGAAAGGTCTAACCATGTACCAAAGAAAAGATGCATAAGGAAAAATCCATTCTAGAAACATAGGTCTATTTAACAATATCACAGACATAGAAAAACTCCAAAAGTGTTTGATGAGAGGGGTCAATCACTTCCAAAAAAATAAATTCAGAATCTGTCATCAATCTTTCAACAATAGCATGGAGAATAAGAAGACAATAGAGTTATACTCAAATACCTGAAATAAAGGAATTCAAAATGAGAATTATATATTTGGCTACACTTGATGAAAAGGCAAAAACAATGGTCCTAGGATTATGTTCCTCCTGGTTAAAGGACAAGGAAAAGAGTGGCTTTACAATAGAAAGTATTTTTTACAACATCCAGCACCAAATACTTGTAATTTTGACCATACTGGCCAAACAGCAACAGAAAAGTACACATCCTACTCTCTGCCCCTGCTACACTGTGATTACACTAGACCAAGCTGAGAGCTGATCTTCCACTCCACACCACACCATCTGTATCTTATAGCAACATGAAGTCTCTCTTCACTTTCTCTCTCTTTGGTTTCCCTGCTCAGGAGTGTCCAAGGGGCACCAGGAAAATGGGAATAACCACCTATTTCCATCTCCTGCTTGGCAGAGCCAGGTTGTGGTAGTGGTGCTTCGATTCTCCTAACTGGGTAGCATCGGCAGGATGGAGCAGGAGCTGATCTTACATCTGCCTCCAGGCCGTGGCAGGTGGTCCTCTAACTCTCTCACCAAGGCAGAGTCCAAGTGGCAGGTGTCAGCTAGTCCAGCAAGCTGAGTACCCTCCAACATCAACTAGAAAAATAAAGCAGTCTGTGTAGCACGTGGCTAGCACACCATTTTCCCCCCACCTTGGTATCAGTGGGGCTAGATGGGGAACCCAACATCTGCCCTCACTCAGCATCAGTGAGGCGAAATGAAGTGGTGGGAAGGGAGGCTAGTTGCCACATTGCATTTCAACAAAGTGGTGTGAGTCAGCCCTCCACTTACCCTCTGCCTGGTTTCTGGGTCCAGTGGTGTATTAGTCAGGGTAGCAGATACTCAACAGTTAGGAGTGTCTGCTACAAATGGGGAGCTGAGCTACACCTCCCCACTCAGAGACAATGAGGTAACATGAGCCAATGTCCCAACTTTTGGGGAAAGGTGTCAATGAGGCCCATAGGGAAACTGAACTTCCACCTCACTTTATCTGCAAAGACACAGTGTTATTAAACAGTTCGTTTTTGCTAGAAGGCTGTCAGCAGAACCAGCAGAAAGCTGAACATGCACACCCAACCAGCCCTGGTGCTATACTTCAACACACTTGCTACATCATAAAATAAATACACAAATAAAAGATTGCATAGATTTCTGAGTTTCATAATTCAATTTCCAAAATGCTCAGGATACAACTGAAAATCACTAATCAAATCACGAACAGGAAAACCATAACTTGAATGAGAAAAAACAGTCAACAGACATGAGCACCATGATGAATCTGGTGTTGAAATCATCTCAT